CATAGGAAATACAAAAAGTAGAACACAATTTTTTCCTAGATTAGCGTCAATCAGCCTTTCGGGAATTGGGCCCAGGAACCTAAATTTCACTCAAAACTTAATGCCATGCAACAACTGTTTGCAGTGCAGATAAGATCACTTTTTACATTGCTTAAGTTATAACTGAGCTGGGTCACAAAAAAAGAGAAAACAAAGAGGCAGCTGATGGGTGACCTTGAATGCAGCATTATCCCGCTGTGTCTGGAGGTGACTGGAACCAAAGATAATCCCCCCAAAATGAAAGCCAGCGGCCTTTACAATGAAAACAAAACAGTAAATAAGAACTCAAAAAGGAAAATTTACTTCACTGCCTTGAAAAACTGGGCTCTTAAACGTTAAACACTAGTAGACATGCGTCGCTTTCAAACATGAAGGTTAGTATCTGCCTTTTTATACTGCATATAAAAGCGATACCACAGCAAAACCTATATAGCAAGATTATAATAGCAAAACAACGATCTCTACAAATAAGCTGAAATGTAACAGCTAAATGATAATAAAAGGTACTTTTTGTTGTACAATTAAATCGAAATTAAATTCTTGTATTATAATTTTAACTGAAATTTGCTAGAATTCTTAAATAAGTTAAACATAAGGCCAGGGGCAAAATTGTTATTCGTATCAGATAATTGCAATGCACGCTAGTAGAAGGCACAAGTGTAATAAAGGTCATATCTGCAATAACACTTGGACCCAAGCGTAATGAAAGTCCTATCTGTAAAATATTTGGACCCAAGTGTAATAAACGTCTCATCTGTTATGACCTGTGGTCCCAGCTGCGATAATATGAGACATGTCCACAAAACAACTTACAAGGTTGACATCACGGGTCACGTGACCAAATGGAACGAGAAAAAAATGAACAGGAAAAAATACCACAGAATCTAGCAATGGCTATCAGTTTAAGCTTTGGCAAATTTATAATTGGCTATGAAACGTGCTTTTAAGAAGATTCATCGCTCCAGGAGAAATAGATATGTCGTTCGCGTTCTCTTGTACAAACTGTCAGACTAAACAGTTTTCAACCCAGTGGAATCTGTTTTTATTTTTCCCCTTTGTCTCCCTGCCATTTTCAGTATTTCACTCACAGCTGAATTTTACTGATAGGATTTCATGACTGTCAGTACAGTCGACTCCCGATAACTCGAACCTTCAAGGGAAATCGAAAAAAGATTCCAGTTATCGGGAGTTCGAGTTATCGGGAGGTCTAAGAAGACAGCCGAGAGTAAGGTAAAAAACATTTTTTACTGCACAGTGAACATTTTAATCACATTTACTTGTAGAAATGTCAAGTGAAAATTAAAAGATACTTCTAGATTATAAATCAGAACGTTACGTAACAAAACATAGCCTAAATAGAGCATGCGTTTTACTGTTTTGAGAAGAAAAGCAGCTTCACGTTAGCCTGTGACAATCAACATCATCCTCCACTAGTAAACTATACTCCTACAACACGTCAATAGGAAATCCAAAATTCAATGTTTCGGACGCCAGTAGACGGCTTTTTCTCCCGACTTTTTAAGGGCTCAAAACATGGTTCGAGTTATCGAGGGTAAAATTATTGCGTTCGAGGTACGAGAACGCAACCCCTAATTTGTGTTGGGTGTTCTGTGCATCATTGGGTGTCCTGTGCACTTAATAAGGGAGGTTTTTTTGAGATTACATTTTCGTCGTCGACACACATTTGCCTCGCTTTGAGGCGTTTGCTTAAGTTTTGCCTCACTTAGACGCGCTAACTCATGTGGTGATTGTTGTGTCCTCAGCGTTCATCTTTCAAAGGTTTGCCGAGGTCTGATATTCTCTCTTCGTAAAGCTTTCATCTTTTAAAAAGTTTGCTGAATCTAATCTTCGTAGAGCGTACATCGATCTGTGTTTGCTGAATCGTCCAAAGCGTTCATCTTTCAGAAGTTTGCTGTTAAATTTTACTTTGGATTAAGCCTTCATATTTTTCAGCATGGTTCGCCACTGCCTTTGGAAAATGTCTGCGACTCCCGGTGCATGCATCAAACAGGGTTTAGTTCGGCGGCCGTTGTGCCACAAAGTAAATTTACCGAGTTGTGTAGCTCGGCGGCCGTTGTGTCACAAAGTAAATCTACCGAGTTGTGTAGCTCGGTAGCCGTTGTGCCACAAAGTAAATCTACCGAGATGTGAAGCTCGGCGGCGCCATTTGATCATGACTTGTGATATTTTCGGCACCGGACAAACGAACACTTTAACTCTATGTCATTTATTGGGAAAAACTTATAAACCAGCCCACAGTAGCGCCACTCTCGAGTCACTGAAATCAACACGCTCGACCAATTACTGGAAAAATTATTGACGTGAACCGCACACACATTCCATTGAAGGCTTCGACAGGGTTAGTGGGAAGTTTGAATTCAGATGTGAAAGCTTTTAAAACAGTAAATTCAATGTAATTCATTTTGTCAACAAGTTGATGATTGGATGCCCTTAAAAATAACAGAGAAAATTATCCGAAGAAATGTTTTTGAAGAAACAAAAAGAATACCGGGTTAAGCACTAATCGGCCTTTGAGCAACTGCGCCCTGTAACTCGCGCCAGTAGAACAAAATGTTCTATTTACACGCCCGATCTCCTCCGATTACAAGCACTTGACACCGAACCATACGATATCTTTTCAAAACCTTATTATAATGATACACAGTTTAAATAGAGGTTTCGCTGTACGCAACCCTTACGTTCAAAATATGCCATAATCATATTTATCTATATCGCAGCCACCCTTCCCCCTCAACTGCTACCTGTACGCCTAACAAACATATCGAACGCACTATCCTAAGCTCCGATTACTCCTAGTATAGAAAATGACCTGAGGGGAAACGAAAATTAGTTCGAGTTAGCGGGAGTTCGAGTTTTTGAGGGTTCGAGTTACCGAGGGTAAAATTACAGCGAATGTATGACGGAAATCCAGGGGAAATCGATTTTGGTTCGAGTTAGCGCGAGGTTCGAGTTAGCGAGGGTTCGAGTTATCGGGAGTCGACTGTACTTGTACTGAAAAGGAGTACCTTTAATTTAAAATTGTTCCTTAATATACATTAGTGAAATCTAATAAAGCATATGCCGCTTCTAACTATAAATTATATGGCTTAAAAAAATTTTCCAGAATTTCCTTAAATCGATAATCGAAGGAATAAAGATAACATAAGAATTTTAACATCATAACAACAAAAAACACTTTCGAAGGGAGCGCAGTAAGTGCAAATTACAGTTCGACGGTGTAACTGGCAGCCCTGGGTTGCTTTCTGCAGGTCACGTGATATTATACTTTTTACCTCTTATTAGTCTCTCTTGCGTAAGCAGCGAGACTCATAATCTGCAACGCGTTTTTCGCCCCGGGGGGTAGTCCCTTATACAGGCTACATAGGTATGTGCCGCGTCAAAGGGTATGTTTGTTTTAGCTGTTTTGTTCTGAAGTAGGGTATCAAGTTCGACCATTTTGGTCTGAAATAGGGTATGGTTTTTGCACTCTAGTCTTGAATTGGGTATGTTTTTTTAGAAGAATTAACTACTTCTTCATCATTTGATAATACGACCATTTCCCTTTCAATGTTTACGCCAACTACCGTTTACGTGCCGTAACAGCTCGTCACGCGCTCCGGTCACGCGCCGGGCTCCAGGGCTACAGGTCTGAAATAGTGTATCAAATTTTTGATCAGGTCTGAAATAGGGTAGGGAAAATCACAGATTTGGGTCTGAAACAGGGTAATGGTTTAAAGAAGCGTGCCGCACACCCCTCCAAATTTTTCTGGAAGTATCCCCCCCCGGAATTTTTGGGACACAAAAGGCAGGTCATAGTGCCAGGCGTGCCTTGCGGAGACCGTGGAAACTGGGTCTAAGAATCTTTGCGTGATCAAAGCCACCAATGTTTTGAGAAGAAAGCTTAGCAAAGATTAAATTTAGAGCTTTTCCGAAACATGTCGGTCCACGAATTCTATCGCTTGAAAGCGTTGATTACTTTGGAGCAAGTGAACACTACTGAGTGGTCGAAAAAAAAAATTGGCAAAATTGCGATGGTCGGGTGTTGTAAACTTTCACTGTATGCAAATGAGTCTTGTGATGAGCATGCGATTTATTTTCGGCGACTGAAATGACGTGCCATGTAAATCACTTTTTCGATATTTGGCAATGATGTAATTTCTCTGGAATCGAGGCCCTTGAATTTTCGTGTATTTATACACGCGTATATGCTGCTACCGCAGTGGTATTTTTGGTTGTCGCTAACACGCGTACTAAATCAATTCAAAAACAAATAAAAAGTATCGACGTCGATAAAGTAGGAAGTAAAAAACCTTTAGCGAGTAAATCATGTTTCTTGTAGAATTAACCGCCTCCTCATTTCTCAATCTAATCTCCAAGCAGGAGAGACCTGGGCCCAGTTGTTCAAAGGCCGATTAGTGCTTAGGGACCACCAGTCATAATTTAAGTTGGAGGGGAGGGGGGGGGGGGATGGAGGAGAAATTGTTTTTTATCCCAAATTATTTCCAGACCCCTACTCAAAAGCACCCATGTTTTTTAGGTACCCCCCTTCAATCATGCTAAAAGATTTAAGGGCCTCCTTTCTTACATTATACCCAAATGGTAATAACAAATAACATTTTCTTTACTTTACCGTTCTTACTCACTGTCACTTCCGAGTGTGCCAACTACATAATCGTCATCTGAGAGTGACTCGTCATCTTGCTGGTCAGCATAGGACATGGAGTCTGCCATTTTCTACTGTTTCTCTTTTATAGAATTAAGCTCATTATTCCGCAGTACATGGCAGCTGATGGTTTTTATTTTGTCACTTTTTTACCATACTTACCAAGTCCATGGGCAGTTAGATATTTCTCAAGTTCTTTGACAGTTAGTTGCAATGTTCCTTTTAGAGACATGTCTAGCCAGTCATACTCATTGTATGTTTTTACGTCTCGTTTGCTTTTGTCGGTTTGCCTCTGAGTCTACCTGATGGATTCTTTGAGTCTCAGTGTTGTCGGGTGCTCCAGATATGAACGCACGTATTTTTCATCAACAGCGAACTTTGTTGCATATTCTTTAATGGCATCTGTGTCATTGAGGGTTATTTCTGATGAATTAAATAAGCGTTTCAACTGAGCCCTTGGCTGCCAGTCATCAGGATCTCTGGGGCTACCATCATCATTTCTCACTGGCGTACAAAACACGCTCTTATAGTGTGGAGGGTTCTTGGGGTCAGGTATGGGTTGAGGTATTCGCTCACTCTCTGGTCCTACCCATAGATGCCTTTCACAGAAGTCGCAAAGACGACCATCTGAATGTTCACTGCATACCCTCTTGAGAAACGCCATATAGAGCTCAACCACATTGTAATGTGATTCAATGAATGTGGATATTTTGTTCATATATCCGCTACCTGGAATTTGTTCTCGCGAAGTGTCACTCTTTGCTTTATTAAATGCCAAAATATTGGCTTCATTAAAGAAGAACTGATCTTCTGGCTTCATAGTTAGATATGCAGTGATGTATTCTTTCAAAACGGGAGCACCGTGAATTCGTTCTTTAACTTCCTTTGCCACATCCCATGCATTGTTTTCCATTCTTTTTTTCTTGTATTCCTTCATCCTCAGTCATTCCTTCAAAGCACTTGGTTTTCTCCCACTCAAGGGTTTCTCCATCGACAATAGAGTGTTGATGTAAAATGAGCAGTACATGCTCTAATAGCAAAAACCTTGACAGTGACACAGACAGTGAGTCCACATCAACCTCATCTACAAATAATGATTCGGATAGTGAGATTGCATAACATGACTTTCTGCATGTAATCATTTGTTAAAATGCCGATGAAATTGTTTCAGTGTTACACAATAATGGATGTTGTGTTGATGCACCTACTATTTGAGCATTAAATCTTTTTGTCAAAATGCTGATTAAATTGTTTTAGTATTACACAATATAGGACTTTGTGTAAAACTGAATCAAAATCAGGTCCTTTAATACTCAAGCGTCATGCTGCTCAGTAGGGATGCTACTTAAAAGAAACTTGAAGGCGCCCCCAAGGTCATCTTTTGGCATTTTAAGGCCCCCCATATTCCATCCCAAAAAATTAAGGCCCCCCAGTTTCTCCTCCACCCCCCCCCCCTTCAACTTTAATTATGACTGGTCCCTTAACCCGGGTTTCCTTTTTCTTATGTTCAAAAGTATTCTCGGATAATTTTCTCTGTTATTTTTAGAGCTTCCAATCATCAACTTGTAGACAAAACGAATTAAAACTGAAATGCTTTTTAAGCTTTCAAATCTGAATTCAAATCTCGCACTAACCCTGGGTTACCTTAACCCAGCTTTGAACAACTCGGCCCAGAATGCCGCTGTAAGCGTGATCTTGTTGGCCATAATTTGTTGCTGGTATATTACCACCGATTTGAGTATGAAGGTAACTTTTAAAAATACGGCCTTTATTACAGATAGGGCCTTTATAAATACGCTTGGGTTCAAAATGTTATTACGAATGGGACTTTTATAACGCTTGGTTCCAAAGTAGTGTTATTACAGATGGGACCTTTATTACACTTGGGTCCACTTATTACACTTGTGCCCTCTACAGCTGTAGGGGTTTGTCTCACTCTGTCTAGCTGAAACAGAAGTTTTATTAATAGACCTGAAAAGGGTAGAACTATACCTTCCTGTTACCCGCCCCATTATGCTCCTCAGAGATTTTTCAAAAAAAGGCAGACTGATTCACAGTCCGTGCTGGTTTTTGGACATAAAATTCAAGGAGTATTCAAAGCAAGTTTACTTTGTCTTGCACTATGTTTTGAAATGTTCTCATTGGTCAGTAGCAACTTTCAAAAAGCTACCCCGGATATAAAATACATTATAAGAGACAGCCACATTAGAGCATAGTAAATTTACTGATTCTTGTAATAATTTACAAACAGGGATGCATAACAATTTCATAGTTCTTGGAGGGTATTGTACATGGAAAGAGGACCATATTAACTAGTTATCCAATAAAGCAACATTACACCAAACAATAAACTCAACAATAATCTAACATAGTCTGAAAGCAATGATTGTCTTTTTGACTGAAAGTTGATGGCAGACACATACTGTTGGTTACTTCTGGCAACAACATTGAAGTAAAACAGGCTAAAGAAAAGGTCAAAATTGTTATAAACTAGGTATACCTATCGATAGAGTGCCAACGAGCAAGTCATGCGTATTTTGCATAGGAATGGATTCCTTTTATCCAACATTTGACAGTTTCTTGGTCCCTTCCTGTTGAAAGGATTATTTTCTTGAAACTAAGGTGCTATGAAGGTAGAAAGGTTAGGAGAAGAGTCAGTTCTCTGACTCCTGTGGCTTTACGAACCTGATATATAAAACTTTAAAGTGTCATTAGGCATATTTTTTTGAAATTATAAAACAGCTTGCAGAGGAAGCGACCGGTAATATTTAGGGGGAAATATAAAAAATGATCGTTTCTCTTACCACTACAAAATTAGTCTCGGTTCGGTTTCACTTTGTAGATAAATATTTGTGCAGTTTAATTATTTAAACCTCCTCTGAAATTTCCCGAGGCTTTTTGTTTCCCGATTGAATTTTAGAATGATTCGCCGCGCTGCTTGAAATATTTTCAAGGACATGCGATGTACGACATGTACGGCACGTCGGTATTTTGTTTTCACTTTATTATTAACTCGGCCAGGTTTTGAAAAAAATAGCGTTGTTTTCTTTTCCTTTATCGTTCGCTTTAGGCTTGTAATTCTTTTTTATTCTTACTTTTCCATTTGCTGGTTAGATTTTTTCCCCAACATCAGATTTTCCAACAGAAGCGACTATATATTCTTCGTATCAAGCTTTCCTTATCTCTTCGTGTAATATGGTCATTTTTAGTGGTGAGAATTGCTTGTTTCACATGGAAAACTTTTCTTTTCTTTGCTTAAACTGTTGCTTTACAAGCTTCTCTTCGTTAAAACCTTACATTAATGCCCCCCAACATTGATACAATGCATCAAGTTTTCACTTTCCTTGACTGCCGGGGCCAGATTTAGGTGAATAAACAATAAAAGCGTACCACACTCAAGTTCATTCTTCGCGTGAACATATGTGCGCCAAGTATAGTTTACCGCCTTTTGATTGCCTGAAACTGTCACACCACTTGGTCTCAGGGGAATCTACATTACATGAGGTTACACTTTTTGAAGCTCGATCGAGAATTTTTCTGCCTACAGCGCAGTCTTGCGCGGCTCTATTCTGCTGCCGCCTCGCCATCCGAGCGTCTTCGCTCGGATGGCTCGTTGGCAATAATTCTGACCTCAAATCTTGTCCTGAATACACAAAATGTCTATAAAACATCATGATTTTAGCCTTTTCTTTAGTGTCTCTATCTGATCATGAATCGCGTCTGCCTCTCTCTCCATCTCTTCGATTGTCCTTCTAAAACTGTTAGATTTTCGTAGGTGAACCATATTATCCTCTGCTTCCATCTGATCACATGGTGGAAAAACTAATCCCAGAATGCATGTGTGCAAAACAGAATTTCACCCAACTTGCAACAGTGCAGGTTTTGCAAAATCTGTCCCCGATTTTGAAATCTGCGCTCAATCCCTGAATTACTTTAAAACAATCCTACATTATTTCCCATCCGAACAAAAATTCAAGGAGTTTTCATTATTTTCAAGCACTTTCAGCAAAAATTCTTCTTTTCAAGGGCTTTTCAAACGCCCTTGAAATCTAAAATTAAATTCCAGGGCTTTTCAAGGACTTCAAGGAGTAGCACGAACCCTGTGATTGATCATTTTCTTTTTAGCAATAATAAAAGGTCTGTCCCACTGATATTCATTTTCTTTCACACAAATAAGGTGGGTTTTAAATAAAGGGTTTAGTTTCCGTTCCTCCATCCTAGTCTAATAGCGTAATAGAAAAACAAAATCTTACCTTCTGTCTTTTGCTTGACAATTGACCACAGTAGGGCTCCTGTTAAAAGATAACAGACAGAAATACATAAGTAATGTTCAAATGTAATTTTGTTAGTCCGATAGTGAGATAGACAAAATCTTACCTGCTCCCCTCATGATCCTGGCGGCTACGGACGACCCGACTATCCATTCTGGTTGTGCAGCATTTAGCAGCATTTGCAAACTGTAATCTAAATATCAGGATCTTCATCAGACAACAGTCAGAAATAAATATGTAATGCAATGTAACTTAACGTAATATGGAAGAGGACAACAGAGTGTGTCCTCTGTATATTTTATGCTAGCCGTAAGCTCACATGTCAGCATGCAAGGGCACCACTGTCTGCCACTAAGGGTATGATTGTGAGGCAAGTGTCTGTTATGTGTGACAGTAGAAGTGATAACGGACTTAGAGGGAGACCATACCATCAGGAAAACCTTCCTGCTCTTTTCATGGAATAGAACAGTGGTGTGTCTGTGTGTTTTTTTATGTCCCCTTCCCCGAGTTCAGTGTGGTGGAAAGGATGAAGGAGACAAGGCAAATGGCTTATCTGCACTGCTTAATGACATGATCATCTGAGCTGAGACATGAACTTGACACAGCCAGCATTATTACCAGTTTTTACAAGAATCAGGTCATTGTACGAACAATGTTTGAAACTGTGAATTGAGAAGTCATAATCACTTTCACTGATCCCCTCCCTTGCAGACCTTTTTGACTATGCATTCCACTCTTTCTGTGTTGAAGGCATCTCACTTAACCTTCAAGCAGGAATATGATAGTAGACTTTATTCAGATTCTCGGTGACTGGCTTTCGGATTAATCTTGATGGTGTATGCTCCTTCTCTCTTATGGTTCCCACTATCCGACTTAAATTACTTATTATGATGTACTAGCTAAAGCTATTATTTCAAATCAGACTAGTAGACACTTCACTCTACCTTTCGATTTGGAGTGTAATTTGGTCATTATATAACAATTATTCACCGAAGTGGAGGTGGCTAGTCGTATTTACCGAACTACGAAGCAGTGAGGTAAATATCCACGACTAGCCACCGACACTGAGGTGAATAATTGTTTTAGTATACACTAAAGCAGTGAGATAATTGAACACAAAAATGATGATTTTTAACTCAAATACTGTTGCCAACGATTACAATTTTGGCGCGTAATGACCCGGTGGCCGCGGCCGTCGCTTTTTCTTGCCGACAATCAAAACTTTTGAAGGCATTTGTTTAGCTCTTGCGGGGAAATTTCTTCAAAAGGAGTTGTGAATTCTTTTTGTATTTAAAATCATTCTAAAAAAAGATTATTAAATTTAGTTTTAAGCTTATTTATGACCAACTCAACTAAATAAAGTAACGCAAGACTTAAACTTAATTTGCATTTGTAAACAAAAAACTTTTTCACTGGTTTTATCGATAAATTCGTGTCAAAAAGACAAAGCTTTACCTGTTAAAACTTCCAATCTGAACTTCGTCACCTTATTCGTGTATTTCGGAAACAGCTTGCTTGATTAGTTGTGAAATTTCTTTGTTTGTTTACGGCAGCAAACCGGGAAGGCATTTCAGTTGCTCGCAACTTATGCGGGTTTGGCGTCGCTCGCTCGGAGGAACTGGAGGTGAATCAGTGAATAGTGCAGGATATTCACTGATTGAGTAGCCAATCAGAGCGCGCAAAAAACACTATCCACTGTTTTAGTATATACTAAAATAAATTATGTTCTTGTATTAACCTAATTTTACAGTATGCTCTCAATAAAGCCTGTCTTAGTCTCAACCCAATTGTGCTGTTTTGTTTTTTGACCTGGTTGTGTGATTTAGGGAAAGGATCAGTTTAGATTATGCTTGTCTAAATAATAAACCAGGGTTTTAGGGCCACCATGTAAAACTACTTCTCAGGTCGAGTAATCAGTTAATTAATTGTATTGCGTGCGCATATTAAAGTAGATACCTTGAGCATAGCAGAAGCAGCTAGTACAGCTCCCTTTCCTCCCCAACCCACCCAGGTATGTCAAGTATGTTAGTGTCTTTTTCTCATAGTTTTTGGTCTTCCCTCTTGGGACCGATATAGTGCCTGATGGCCAGTTGGAAAATCTGGACTGGACTCTGAACTGGACTGGACTTTTTTTTTTGGGGGGGGGGGGGGTTTATATTTTTTCATTTGGGGGGGAGGGGGTAGTATTATATAGACTTTACTCTTCTTTGTTCTTTGTTGGTTTTGTTTTATGTCTGTCATCTTTAGTCTGGGTGGGGGGCTTAGATTGGTCGCTCTGTTTGACTCACGGCTGTCACGTTTCACTTGACAGTTGAAGAAAATAGCAGAGGTGGATGTTATGTATTAACAAAAACATGACCTGTTTCTTGTAGTCTATCTTATTATCGAGGGTTGAGGGTAACATTTTTTCTTAAAAGGAAAGAACCTTTTGCCTCCCTGTGAAGGTAGACAGGTCGTGCCTAAAAAAAATATCATAGAGCTTAGGCTTATATTTCAGTCATGCCTGCCTCTTCTCTGCCTTGTATGGCTATTCAGTGGGGTAGTTTGAATATGTATATTTCACCGATTCTTGTTTTAAGCTACATGTATCCCACTGTATGCGACGGAATTGTCCTGCTTTCAATGAAGTAGAAACGCGCCAAAGAAATTTTCAACTGAACTGCCTTCACAGGCTGATGGGTTCAAAGTAGCTTTTACGGCTTTGTTACTTGCCGTAGATTTCAGGAGTAGCTTTCATTGTCTCAGTCTTCTTTTCAGTTAGCCGCTGGTGTCAAATTGTGATGAGGTGGGGCCCGATGAGGTGTGAAGCAATCTGATATCTCCCTCCCAACAATGAATGGGCTGGTTGTTTTGCAGGCATACATGGTATTGCATGTGCCCAAAAGTCAGAAAAGCACATCTCACATTCACTGTGTGTTATTGCTAGCACAGCTACTAATGTTGCAGTAGACTCCGAAGAATAAAATCATTCTTTATTAATTCCCACTCCGTTTAACACCAAATAACAATGCCGAAAACAAAGCCCAGCCCATGGGTTGGTTGCTACGCAGAAGAAACAGGTCATGTTTTTGTTAATACCTAACGCACCCCAAAAAACATCGAGATAATTTTTAGGGTATTTCCACCGACGTAACATCCACTTCTGCTATTTTTTTCAACTTTCAAGTGAAACATGACGACCATGAGTCAAACAGAGTGACCAATCTAAGACTAAAAGACAGACCAAAAGAAAAGTAAAGTCTATATAATACTACCCTCCTTCCCCCTCCCCCTAAATGAAAAAATATAGCCTGTTGGGGAAAGGTTGAAAACGCGATTTTTTTACAGACTAGAAAAAATAACACAACCGCCTCCAACCCCCCCAAAAAATTACCCCCCTAAACAAAAAGGTCCAGTCCAGTCCAGTCCAGAGTCTAGTCCAGTCCAGTCCAGAGTCCACTCCAGCTTTTCCAACTGGCCGTGCCTGATAACATAACATAACAAGCAAATTTTACCTTCATCTAACCTTCTGGCAATAATCTCCAATACGTCTAAAACATAAAACAACGATATTTTCAAGTTACTTTAAAATAAAAAAATTATCATATATTTCAAACAAGGTAAAAGGTTACAAAAACATCTGCAAAAACGGATATCAAAGCTTAAATCAATACTCCGAATACCTCCAATGTGAATGAAACGTTGTCGCTCCAACCTATTTACTACTTCAAGGAGGTCACTTTTCTCCGTCTGGATTAAAATCTCCTTTAAGATTGTAAGACAGTCGATTCCAAGACAGCCGTTGCTTCCTAGCTCCCTAAACAATGACCTAACATCGTGGATGTTAGCTCGTCTTCCTTCTGTTATATTTCCTCTGCAAATCGAGATGAGTCGTTCCAAATCATTAAGCTCGTCGAGTACTCGTATAATCAGCTCAAGCACGTTGTTGTATCTCTTTCTTCTGCACTCAAATATTTCAACCTTATGTAGAAAATCCCATTCCTTCACGCCTTTTAACATTTCCCTTAATAAGTCAAGTCGATCGGGACTCAGAAATCCTTTCAGCTCTAATTCTACAAACAACGAAAAGGTAGGGATGCTTTCTTCATTACGAGCCGCCAGTTTTCCTCTGCATATCACTAGTAATTGCTTGCCGGCATTTCTGTTGTCGAGTCTTTGGCTTATTTGGAACAGTAAATTCTTATATTCGAACTCAGACATTTTAAAACTACGACTCGACCGACTCGAGCGTCTGCGAATTGGTGCACACATATCGTGTTCAACTCCCGCAGAGTCGCAAGGACATATGTCGCCGTTTTTGATTGGCTAGTTTCTTACGCAGTTTGTGATTAGTCCGCGGCCTCTGGGAACGAGATTGAATAGGCCATTTGCACTAAGAGGTCATGTGACATCGTTTTTCACAAAATGAAAGTTATATGATTTTACCAGGGGGGGGGTCTACGACTTAGCGAAATTTCGTGTACCTATGATCCACCGATTTATGACATCACATCCGGTTGCAGAGTTGCTGCTCTGTTTTCGCGCGAAGCACCAAGATGGACGCCCGATGCCATTTGGTTTTCTCGTTATTTTTACCCACAGGCTAACGGAATTATGTATCTTAAATGCCGAGAATGTTGAGAAGGTATCTAGCCGGCCATTGAAGCAAATGTCATGACCAAACAAAGAAGATTTAGTATTGTTTTAACGATAAATATCATGCAGCTGCGGGGAATATCATGGCGAGTCTTGCGATGTTTCAGAACGAGTGTCGTTAACGTTTTGTGGCTGTTGCGGCCTCTGATTTAGAGAAGTCATCAATCAAAATATAATTTCCTGAGCGGAATAGAATGGGGAAAACGTCTATGGCCACAGTTTAAAGTGTTCACCGCTGGAAGGCTGTATCACGCCCCGTAAAGTTGCAGAAACTTCCACTCAACTGCATGGTTTTGAGGAATGTCATGGCGAGTCTTTCGCTGTTTGTAATCGAGCGTCACTCAAGAGTTTGGCTTTCGCGGCTTCTGATTCATCGAAGTCATCAATCAAAATTGCCTATCCTGAGCGAAATACCGTGGGGAAAAAGCTTATGGTCACAGTTTAAAGTGTTAACAGCTGGAAGGATTTGCCACTCGACGTAAAGTTTTTGTAGGGGCTCGGTCTTCTGCTGTTCGAACACCCGCTGGCATGGTGTCGCATAGTTAAGGTTAGTAGGTTTGCTGATCCAGGATTTTTCTTTTAGTGCACGTGAGAGAATTACAAGGAACGTAGAGTAAAGAAATATTAGAGTTATTCAATGTTAGAGCGTGAGCTTTTGTTAAGAGAATTAGATATCAAATTTTTTAAATGGTTGATGAAAGAGGAATTCTGAAAGAACAGGTGGTACTATTAGGAAAGGGCAGTAAAACATCCTAAAGAACTACCCTTTTTCTCACAGCACTTTCTACTGGATCTCTAAAACTGTATTTTATTGGGTAAGAAACACATAAAATAGAAAAAATGTGACAGAGAATAGGCCGTTTGCTTTGGGAGGTGGTGCCCCAAGAGAGGTGGAGATATTAAGAGGGGCTACAGCCAAGAAGGACAATATCATAACCAAAACAATAATCTTGCTGATCAATTATTATTACTAGTAGTCTCTTTTGAGTACGATAGTATACCAGAAAGATACCACATGCCTGCAACTGCTGTGATCATAATTTATTGTTTTAGAGGGAGGCATGCAAGGTTTTTGCTAAGGGGATTTCAGGGGTGGTAACAGCACACCTCCAGACAGACTGCATGGTTGCTTATGGGGGATTGTGAAACTTAATGACAGCAAACTTAATTTGCACAGATAAGCAAAATTACATTGCCAGTTATTTCTCTCTGTGTAGTAGGGGATAGACAGTTCAATTATGTGTGAAGGACTGGAAGTATATTTTTTTGCCAATTTTCCCTTGCTGAGCATAAAAATCTATATTGTAAGACAGTTGTGCATAAGGGATATTTGCATTGTTTGATTCTAGGATCCTTAAAAGTTGTAAGGAGAGAGGGTCTTCATGGCCAAAACAAACAAAAAGTATGTAATATGAAACTTGAATGAAATTTCTACCTGGTAGGGAGTTGTTGGGAGAAAACGGCCTCCCTGGAAAAAGAAAGGATAGTTTTTGTTCTGTAACGTGAAACTTTCATCTTAAGACTTGCACTTTTTGTTACTAGAAACAATACATGTAAGCAATGGAACCAAAATTTGAAGGATACTGCAATAATTCACTTCAGTAGAATGGTTTTTCTTTTTCCTAGTAACAATGTTTTTACTCGGTAACTTTTTAATAAGGTTGACAGTGGTCTTCTTTTAGTACAGTATCTATGTTGAATGGCATGCCTGAGGGGGGAGGGGGGAGGGGTATGTACCTGTAGCTGGTGGGGCAAAAGGGAGTATCCAACAGAGAGTTCAAACCTTTTTAGGAGAAACAGTCACCCAGTGCAGCTTTGAGTGAACCAGTGATCATTTTTTTTTTCTTTTGGCCATACATGGACGGTATATTTATTTTTTTCTTTATACTTCAATTTAAATTTTTCCTGTTTTCTGGGTTATGAAAATGTATGATAATGAGTATGACACAAAGGAAAGTAAAATTATCCAGGGATAAAATTGAACCACAATAATAACGATATACAGCTGTGTATAAATTATTAGTATGTATACAACAGTTTTTCTTCTAGTGTTAAAGGAAATACTGAACTTTTATTCACCTACTTTATTTGATTGATCAATGATATTATTGTTCTAAAAAAAGAAACATCAAAATATTATCAATAAATTACATGTATGGATTTTAGAAACATGCAAACCAGCCCTGAGACATTCAAGCTGTATTGATTTCCTTTTTCCCAAAAAATATCCACATTCCTTTTTATTGACTAATGTCTTTTGACCCTGTATTTGGCTCAAAATCTTAATGCTTGGATTCACAATGCATTCTTGATTCTTTTCCAGTATCTACTGAAAAATACAGTCTAGGTATGTTGTAAATACCATCTCTTCTTAGTTGTATCCTTGACAACAGGCTTTCAATGCAATGTTCCGAGTTGTTTTAACACACAATCCCCCAACAAGTGAAGGTCTAGGAAATATTGGGTAAATGTAGATAATTATAAACATCGTTTTTGTGTCAAAAAGTGTTTACACTCCTATTTCAATCTTCAAACAGCTTGATTTGCATAAAAAGAGTATTTTTTATTGTTCAGTAGCTCTAGGCTCAAGTTCATATCTTGATCCCATCAATGTATCTTCAGTTTTAAACAGAGGTTTCAGTGGTTTCAAAACAAGCTGGTGACCACTGGAGTTCCATCAGCTACTTGATTGTATGTTGCCAGCAATTCTGTAGTCCCCCCCCCCCCCCCCCAGCCTCCAGATACTTTAAAACATTTTGAAATCCCTGAAGTTTATGTACTGACGATGAGCTAGTATAATTTTACAAAGGAACCCTACCAAAGGATCAGAAAGCCAAGCCAAGTAGTGTACCATAAAGACTGATCATCTCAAAACCCACCTCCTATTCCATGGCACATACCTGTATAGAAGTACTACAACCTTCTCCCTTGGTGTTAAAGTAACAGTAAAGAGGGGTTTCAGGTGTAGCCTCTTGTCTTTTTTTTATTTTTCTGATATTTGCTACAACCTTTGCTCCTCTGTAGGGAAAGATGGTTTGGCAAGAGGAAAGCAGAAGACAGTTTGATGAAATGATTTATTAATTCACATTTTACTATTCCATCTGTTAAGAGGATTTTCTAAACAGATCATTTAAATAGTCTGGAATTCATTAAAGCTGACAAAAAGCACATGCTGTTCTTGTTGTTCCTTTATAAGACAGCCTTAAATAAATTGCAGGTCTGAAAGATGGAGTTGTAAATAAGCTCATCTCGCTATGTTAATTTTTGATAATCCTTTTCCCATCAAATTTAGTTACTAGTAAAAACCTGCAACTAAGAATCTGTATTTTTCCAAGTTAGCCTAAACAAGTCAGGTTTTTACATAAAAACCAATTAGCACAGATTTAGGCTATTTAGGTTCAGTCTCAAATAGGTCCTTATTTTCTGAAAAAAAAAAAAACTTTGTAACTTTGAGCTAAAAGTATTTAGTGGCATTCAGCTCTTTCCTTAGTATATGTAAAACCTGTATACCATTGCATTGCAGTCGGAGTATTAAATGATAAATATTATTGGACACCTATGTCTCAAAAGAGGACCCTGTATGTTGACTTATCTTACTTTCCCAAGTGTACACTGTGCAGAAGTTTTTTCTTAGAGATTTTATAAATAATGGTAATAGGGCTGAGTGGAGTCCAATTCGGTCTGTAATCATACACGTTACAAAATTGGACAACCACGAAGCAGGAGTCGGATTTGTTTAATCATGAGTATGATTACAGATTGAATTGGACAAAACAAAGTCCTGTAACCGTTACAATTTCCAAGGAAATATATGCATTCCTTTTTGGAGAAATAGCATTTGTTCATACTAAATGTCCAAAATAAGGGAAAATATTACTGGGGGAGACACTGCCTATATGTTGCATATTCATCCATTTTGGATTAATCCCCAGTTTGTTTGGGTAAGTGATTGTTGCTATGGTTATTGTAATAACTTCTGTGATTGGTGGATTTAGCTCAGTGCACTTAAAATGATTGGCTAATGTAATTGTCTGATTACAGGCAACTGTCTGACTACAGCCAACTGTCTGATTACAACCATACACAATGATTAAAGAAAAATAAAGCAGTTAATGCACCAATCAAATTTGAGGAAATTGTAATGGTTATGATTAATAACCTGTTTCAAATTTGAGTGCTCTTTTATAAAGACAGCCTAGCTGGAAAATTAGCCTGACAGGTTCTTAAAAACCAGTTTCTTAGTTGTGGATTTTTCCTGTATCCTTGTTGAGCTTAATACTGCACATCACTATGCTGGGTGTCAGCCCATCCCTTTTTTGTTTCTCCATGTCAGTGAGGTCAGATAGGGAATTTACATTTAGTCCTCTAGACCATGGTGCCTTTAATAGAAAGCTTTCTTCTCCTAATCAGGATCATATTAACAATCCTTTACTCTAACTGATTAATTGAAGGATGAAGAACACTAAGGGATGAAGTTGTCATAACACAACCACCAACTCCTTTCCACAGGAGGAACAGAATGCTTAGGGATGGAAAATAAACATGCGAAACTGATTGAAGTATAG